ATGGCTGTGAAAAGCAGCATGGAAAGCCCTGGGAAAAGAACGTCATGGTGCTTGACGGACGGCTTTTGAAGTTTAACTATGATATGGCGACCATGAAGTATTCAGAGTACTTCAATACTGAATTTATGATTGCGGATGTCAATTTCGGTCGTTGTCAACACGGCGCAAGCTGCGCCCCTTCAACTCTGTGGAACTTTGAAGGACTGCTTCCTGTTTGTTCAGCGCGCTCTACACGCTCCACGCAAAGAACGTGATGACAAGCTTTGGGCAGGTTGCAACGTGGCCTAGAGTGGAAGTGTCAGCAGCGTAAACTACTGGTTGGCCTTGAGATGGTGTGCCAAGAGCATTCATTGATTTGGCATGTGGTTCTGTGGAATGCTGTGGGCTGAGCTTTTGCCTGACAACCAAAATTGAGGCGGCCTCGCACGTCGAGAGGTGGAGCAGTACGGTCGTCAACTTGTATTGCCGAAGTTGGGGCCTGCGGGTCAGCAAGAGATCTCTCAAGGACCATGGTCACATTTTGGGGTGGCTCTCTCATTCAGAGCATGCCTGTGTGAAGCGATGCTTCATTCAACCATTCATTTGTCGGCTATTTTAGTGGGAGATTTTTATGTGGCTCGCTGGGATCCTGTTCCTTGTGCTGGGTGAGGAGGCGTGCTCATCGTTGGTGCTGGCGGACTAGGATGCCCGGTGGCCATGTACCTGGCTGCGGCAGGCAAGATGCAGTGCTTTTACGAAATGTAGCTGTCAGCCCTTTTTGAGATGGAGTGCAACTTGTTTTCGCTGGGATGGCCAACTTACATGTTGTCGCATGATTTTGGCATGCAGGAGCTTACTTGTGGGGGTTTATAATCTTGATCCCCAAATAGTAGGATGCCCTTATAAGAAGGACACCAATGAGGCACCCCCCTAATTTCGGAAAACCCCCATTTAAGTCTTTTTTGGTTGTCGGCATGCACACTCGCAGGGGTTGGACGTCTTGCCATCGTGGATGGCGACTGTGTGGAGGACCCAAGTTGCTTTAGCTTCTGCGTTGCTTTCGGCCCAGCTGTTCTGAATTTGGTCTGCGTGTCCGTATTGCATGGAGGAATCCAATCTGCACCGACAGATTGGGCATCTCTGGCGCAACGTGGGCAAAAGCGGCCCGATGGAGATTTAGTCTTTCTTTCACCGATCTTGAAGCTGCAATGCTCCATCACTGGACAGGAGCCAGAACCGAAGGTGCCTGTCAGTGCCTTTAAGCCCGAAAAGCGTACAGGATAGCAGAGTCAAGAAGCAGAGTGGCAACATTCGGCAACAAACAGGTTTAGACATCACCGTCTTCTTGCACAACCACCCCCACCCAAAACATTCGGAACTAGTTGTTGCTTACTTCCTGTTTCGCTGGGGCCTTCTGATGTTTTGTTCGACCAAGGCAAGGCGGCTTCTCTGGCAGAGACCTGCCGTGAGCGGAACCCCAACATCTCCGTGGAGGTTCCCCGAACTTCTCAAAGTTGCTAGCAGCTCACAAACAGGCGTTCGGTGTTGGAGAAGAAGTCTAAAAAGTTTTATGTGGGGACCTGGAGGCTTGTAATTGAGCTCAGCGGAGGAAGTCGATGGAGAAGAATCCTTGTGGGGAATCCTAGGGGGGGATTGTCTGGGTTTAAGACGACCGTTCGCTCAACAGGTGCCCAGGAGCCCCAGAAGGGTAGCTTTCATGAAGTCTACGTCCCCGCCGGTTCTTGGGGGCTTCTTCTTGATTGGTAGTGGGTACGATTCTCTACCGTGACTATGGTTATCCTACTCTGAGCTTTGTTCCTGTTACTGTTATTTCCGTTAGTACTATGACAATGAGTTTCTGTGATTTCATTCATTACTTGTACTTCTATTGTTAGCATTGGCTTGTGAGACTGTCGCCATCCTGTCAGAGGCGCACGCACAGCGCATCACCGACACGGAGGAGGCCGCCTTCCTCATGAGACGCGGCCCTGCCGCAATGACGATCCGAAAAAGCTGCGGGGTTTTTAGGTTTTTTTTGGTGGGTTTTTGGGTTTGGCGTGCGTGGTAGGCTGCCTTGCTGAAGCGGCTTTCAGTCCATGACATCCCATGGCCACCCAAGAGACAAGGCTATGATGTCATCGTGGACTGCACGGATGCGCCACGAATCCGCTACCTGCTGAATGATGCCGCCATCGCTGCAGGCAAGCCGCTTGTTGCGGCGTCGGCTGTTGCGCCGCCTGGCACGAGTGTGAGGGAATTAGGGGGTGGACGTTCAATCTGCAAACCCCCAAGCTTTCTGTGCATTACATTTTGCTTACGATTCGTAGCTTCCATCGAGCTAGAAAGACGGACGATGCGAGGGATCCAGTTCGTGCGTTTCGCCTCTCGGGTCTCGGTTGTTGCAGTGTTGCTACCGGCAGTCGGTGTTTCTGAATGCCGAGGCAAGAGTTTTGCGAACTGAGGCTGTACGGGCAACTTGCCATCTACAATTTCGAGGGAGGTCCATGTCTTCGCTGTGCCACTTGTCAGGGCCCACATGGTCCCGAAGCCTGAGGTCTAAGCTGAACCCAAGTTTCCAGTGTAGCCTTTAGCAGGGTCTCCGTGGGCTCTAGTCATTTTCAAGCTCAATCCCCGGATTCTTACAGGCAGATGTGAGCTTTTCAGGCCAAGAAAGAACGGCCAATGGAGGGAGGGTTTCTGGATTATTCTGGATGAACATTGCAACTACAGCTTCAAGAAGCTGTCTCTCTTCCCAGCAGCAATGGCAAAAGGTCTTCCCTCCGCCGCTGGCCCAAGCCGACTTGGCCCAAGTCTCCTCCTGCGAGGCCTGTTCTGGGGTGTAGAGGCTTGAAAAAAACAAGGCAGAGACCCGTTCAGCAAGGATTCTTCTTTGGGATTATAGAAGGGCCTCAGGTCCTGTGGGTTTTAGGCTTCCCTGGTAAGAAAAGGGCATGTCGGGGGGTGAACGTCCTGCAGGAGAGCGGCGTCCTGGGCCCCGTGGTGGGCACCATCGGATCAATGGCAGCCTTGGAAGTCTTGAAGGCATTCCCCGGCGTCTGGGGAACCGAGATTTCACGAGCTTCTTCTTCTTGTGTGTGGGAGTCTTGTTTCTTGCGTTTTGCTTCGCAGTGCTTCGGGCCCCCACCCGCGATCAAGATTTTCCAGGAACTTCTCTGGTGGAGCTTTGGTTCTTGTTTCCATAAGATGCCATGAGCTCACGGTGAAGCTCCAGTCCCCACAGGCGCCTGCAGCTCTTGTCGTCCGTGGAGTGTTTGGTGTATGCTTCATGGGCCTGCAACTTGTCAAGGTCTGACATGATTCGTGGCAGATACCACGGTATTTTGCTGGAGAACTGGATTCGGGTTCTTGCGGTGTTGCAGAAGCTTAAGCCGACTCGTTGCAGATCTTGGCAAAGTCGTCGCCTCTCCACGCGTCCTGTTTGAGGCGGGGGCGGGGGGGGGGGTCCTTCAAGGCAGCAGCCCTCAACCCTACAAACCTTCTACCCGGAGCCCGACTAAAGAACCTGAACCCATTCAAAGATGAAGGGGGGTTGAAGGGCCCACCAAACTTTCAACCTCAAACTCCAGCAGGGTTGGTCAATGGCAAGGATGTTTTGAGAGGTAAGTGCTTGGTGCCCTCTTGGACGGAGAACATGATTCGGGGCTCACTCTCACATCCCTGGAGGCCTCATGGGTAGCCATAGCTTCGATCATACGTTCTCCAAGATGGTCTCGATTGCCTTGTTGATGGCCCTTTGTCAAGAGGGGTTTGGGGTTTAGGGTTTAGGGTTTAGGGAGCCTCCAAGTGAACCCCGCACACCCCTGTTTTTAAGCTCCGGGGGGCACCAGCATGCCAAGGGGGAAGATGATGTGCTACGACGCAGCCAACGCCTCACAGCCGACTTACATGGTGAACCTGAGCAGGCTTACCAGCGCGCTTTTTTGTGGCCCACAAAGCCTACTGATGTTTGTTTCTTATCCTTTGGGCAAAAGAGAGCCTTGCTGCAACTTTTTGATGAAAGGCAGCCAAAGTGTCCTGGCTGCGCCAACGATGCCAGCCATCAGCTGCTGCCCCCCGAAGGCCCGAAGGTTGGGTTCTGACTTGCGTGGCTTGCTTGGTGGCTCAAGGCCCCGCAAACCTCGAAACCTCTGGGAGGCTGCTGCCCCTACATGGCCGGGGATGCTTCGAATAGCCGCCTTGCTCACTTGGACGTCGCGTTGCGTTGGGACTTGGGGCCTAAACCCTAAACCCTAAACCCTAAACCCTAAACCCTAAACCCGAAACCCTAAACCTTAAACCCTAAACCCGAATCCCTAAACCCTAAACCCTAAACGCGAAGTCTCAGGGTCCAGCACGCCAGGCATTTCGGCTTCTGAGCTTCGCTCCCGGCTCCTGGCCAACCAGCCCACGCTTCTCCTGGACGTGAGGCGTGCGCAGCGTCGACTTTTTGTAGATTCTAAAGGCAGCCCCCCTAGAATTCGGGGAACCAGAAAGACACCAGAGTTTTGAGACCCGACCAGACGCAAAGTAATTCAAAGTGGCCTCTGGATTTTCGCCTCTGAAGCCTTGGCCGCACGCAGGCAGCCTACCCACTTTTCAGTCTGTCGGCTGGAGGCTTGCAGAAATGGGGGTTTACGAGATTGGGGGGCACATTATTGGGGTCCTCATTATAAGGTGATCTTACTATGTGGGGTCTATTTTGGGGACCCCTATTTTCGTGAACCCCCAAATCGTTTGGGTGGTTTAGCAGTTTAGCACTCCCTTTGTTGGGCGATGGGCCTGGGTCGCGGGATGTCATGTCGTGCGAACTGGCCCAGTTTAGTGTTCAGGGACCACATTTTGAACAAGCGTGGCTGTCCATGCTGTCCTCACAGTAGTCCACCTTCTACTTCGCTCACAGTTACGGTAAGTTTAGGGAAGGCGAGCTCCTCCGGCCTGCGCCCCTTCTGCAGGGTGCGCACAATTGGCCCCTTCGCAAGATCAGCTTTTCGGACAACAAGGACTGACGTTAAAGCCCTAAGCAGCCGTTGGGAGGAGGGGGTGCTGGCTTTGCTTTTGCAGACATGCTGCTGCATCTCACTGAGGTTCAGGTTTTTGTGGAAGAGTTTCTATCCCAGGAAGGTCTAAGCTGTAAGTCGCGAGTCTTGAGCCTTGCAGACCCTTTCAGGAGTGTTTGGAGAAGATCTCTGAGCTCCTTCCGGACCCAAGCGATGGTTGCGAGATCGTTTGTGTTTGCCGACGAGGCCCGTGGCCCGCTGCCCCGAAGAAGAATGAGAAGAAAGAAGATGACAGAAGAAAAATGGAAGAAGACGAAGCACCCCATAGGCCCTAAAGAGCTCACGCGCGAAAGCAAGAAGCTGGTCAGAACACTCTCTCTCTCTCTCTCCCTAAACCCTAAACCCTAAACCCTAAACCCTAAACCCTAAACCCTAAACCCTAAACCCTAAACCCTAAACCCTAAACCCTAAACCCTAAACCCTGTCTTTGTCTCTCGGTCTCGGTCTCGGTCTCGGCCCCTTCTTTCCCTCTCTTTCCCTCTCTCGCTCGCCCGTTCCGGCTTGCTTGAGCATCATTGTAAGCCGCGTTGCCTGTGTCTTAACGGCCCCGGTGTGCAGTGGCCTTTAGGGTTTCGGGTTTTGGGGTCGGTCCGTGCCGGCATCCAGAGATTCAAAAAGATTGTCTTGAGAACCCCTCGCCTCCCGCCCCTGGGTCGTGCCCTGCGGGTCGAGCCGAAATCCCAATTCCCAGCCGTTCAGCCCGAAAAGCTCAGCGACAAGGGGTTGGGGGTGGGTGGATTCAGCGGTTCTGACAGGAAACCAGGCGAACTTGTCGTAGGGGACAGCTTCTCCCTCTAGGGGTGATGCTCAAGCCCCAACCCCCAAATTTCTCGTGGCCCATCATCTTCCTTGTCGAAGTGGCAAGGCAATGACAGCCTGAAAGCGGTGACGCTGGGCTGCACCCAAGCACCCAAGGGCCTTAAAACCCTCAACAGGGTACCCAGTTGACCGATTCTGGTGGGGCTTTGGGTGTAGGGTTCGAGGTGCAAGGACCGAGCTGGCTTGCAGCTGTGGCTGGCTTCATTGAGCTTCAGGGTCTGGGCGTTGGCTGTTTTTGCAAAACCGGAAGATTCCCAAAACTGCCTAAGCATCCCTAAGCATCCTCAAGCATCCCTAGACATCCCTAAGCATCCCCTCAACATCCCCTAGCATCCCTAAACGTCCTAAACATCCCTAAGCCACCAAGCCACCAAGAAAGTGCGGGGCACATGTGCCTCAAGAACCCCGCAGACTCAGCACCCAACCCCCCAGCCCCCAAATCCAAGCATGCGCAAACCCCGAAGCCCCCAGAAACCCTAGGCATCTGCTCCGGGCTGCGGGGGTTCCGGCGTGGAATCTCCAGGTGGGCGGGGCTACGAGGGGTTGGTGTTGGAGCGGGGGGCATAGGGGTAAGGGGCCGAAGCCTTAGATTCTGAGCCTGAGAAAAAAGAGCAAACGGCCTAAACATCGGTAGCCCTCCGAGGGTACACAGCCGTAAGCCCTAAGGCCTACCCCAAAAACCCAAAACCCCAAATCCTTCACCCTAAGCCCCAAACCCTAAACCCTAAAACCCTTCGACCAGCCAGGGCGGCCTCCAAAAGCTGATGGAGGCCTGTGGAGCCCCGGCTGGGGGCTTGCCGGCGCTGACGTGAGCGACGTGCGTCTTGAAAATGCGGGGGGGGATCCCTTGCAGAGCAGCAACAGCGGCTTTTTGGGTTTTGGGGGGTTCTTGGGGTGGAGGGGGGTTGGGGTAGGTTGCTGGGCTTAGGTGCCACGTGCAATCCAGGTTGCTAGTTTGCTCTGTGTGTACGAAATTGCAGTAGTGACACAGGTGGTACTCGTAAAACGGCACGTATCAACAGTGGCAGGTCGACTCTGGAAACATCAGGTCTCCCTTTCGTCTAGAAACAGCCCAGGGTCGGCAGGAACAGCTGCCAGGAAACAGCCACCTGCACGGAGAGCTTTGACAGACCGCGCCCCAAAAGCCAAGGCCCTTAACGCTGGACACAACCACAGACGGCTCAAGCAGTCGACGCGTCGGAAGGCGTCTGATCATGCAACCGAATGGCCGGGACTTGTGGTCGGAGTTGTTGCCTTAGCAGTAGGAGGCCGCCTTGGAATGCGCTGCAGGTCCCCAAGTCTCAGCCAAAGACTTCCAGCCCGATAAAGTGCCCCTGAGCCCTAAACCCTAAACCCTAAACCCTAAACCCTAACCCTAAACCCGGAACCTTAAACCCTAAACCCTAAACCCTAAACCCTAAACCCTAAACCCTAAACCCTAAACCCTAAGCCCTAAACCCTAAACCCTAAACCCTAAACCCTCGCTCCAAGACTTTAGAAGAGCACCTAAAGCGCAAGATGCTCTATTGGTGCACGAGGCACCAGCCTAGCTTTCAGAACCCCTTGACCCCCAGACCCCTGTAAGCCCCTAAACATCCCTAAACCCTAAACCCGAAGCCCAGAGCACACATAGTCGAAGAAGCCCATGGCGCCCGCGTCGCTCGGGAGGATTTGAAGGTGGGCGATCTGGGTTTACGGTGTTTTTTTTGTTGTGGGTGATAGGGGGCCTGAACGGCAGACTTCCTAGGCAGCATCGACAGCTGGGTTGTCAGTGTTGTTCTTTCCGCAGCCGGCAGATGCATGTTGTTTTAGGTTTTAGGGTTTGGGGTTTAGGGTTAGGGTTTCCAATGGATTGTTCAGCCGCATGAGTCATCTTCAGCGATACGAAGCAGCTCGGAGCTCAATTGAGCCGTTTCTGATGCGAAGCTCAGTGCTCAACTGAGACACTTCGTGCACTGCCTGCCATGAGGAAGCCCCCGGCCCTAAACCTAAACCCGAGCATCATGGCATGACTGGCCCTAAACCGAGCTAAGCAGTCCAAGCCTCCGACGTCTTCGCTTGAAGCCGGAACCCCACCAGGGAGCTCGTATACGATACCCGTAAGCCTTCAACTGGAGTAGCAAAGGCCGCTTGTTGCAAATCACCACCACCACCATCATCGCCATCATCACCATCATCATCTTCAGCAAGTCACCACCTTTGAGGGCATGGGGATGGAGAGACGTTGTGCGCGGGTACCTTAATGCTGGCCCCAAAGTCCAGACCCAAAGGTAGACATTCCGCGTGATTCAAGGGCGCAGGGCTTGTAGCTACTGCACATTACTCGCCCAGGTAGCTTATAGTGTGTGTGTGTGTGTGTGTGCTTGTGCTCCGTTTGTGCTTCGCGTGTGCTTCGCTTGTGCTTCGCGTGTGCTTCGTGTGTGCTTCGTGTGTGCTTAGTGTGTGTGTGTGCTTTGGGGCATATGCCATGGATTGCAGTGGGATCGAAGCGGTGCAGGTGGTGGTTGTCAATGCCATTGGCGCAAAAGACCCGGCCTTAGATGGGGACTTGTCAGGCCTTTCATGTGGTCTCTGTGCTGAGCCCTGCTCCGAACCCAGGCTGACCTTACTCCTCTCTTGAACATGGAAGCCTAAACCCCAAACCTTAAACCCCAAAGCACAAACCCGAAACCCCAAACCCGAGACCCTAAACCCTAAACCCTAAACCCTCAAGAGCTCGAGAGCCCCGAAAGCGCCGAATCCCCCAACCCAGGAGCCACCCAGCACTCCTAAACCCTAAACCCTAAACCCTAAACCTTAAACCCTAAACCCTAAACCCTAAACCCTAAACCCTAAACCCTAAACCCTAAACCCGAATCCCTAAACCCTAAACCCTCAACCCTGAACCCAAGCACTCCCCCAACATCAGCGTTCAGTCTTGAGGCCCCACCGCCCGAAAGCGGATGTGGAGCTGCTCAGCCGGGCTCCTGCTAGGGTTGAGGGTTTAGGGTTTAGGGTTTAGGGTTGAGAGGAGTTTAGGGGGTTACGGGTTCAGAGGGGTTAGGGGTTCAGAGGGGTTTAGGCTTAGGGTTGAGAGGGGTTTAGGGGCTTAGGGGTTCAGAGGGTTTAGGGTTAAAGGTAAGGGGGTTTAGGGCTGGGGTTTAGGGGTTCAGAGGGGTTTCGGGGCTTAGGGGTTCAGAGGGGTTCAGGGTTCTAGAGGAATTTCGGGATAGCTTGGGGACCGTGACAGTCCTCTTGAACTCAGGGGTGTGCATGGATTTATGAATATAATGTACAATCTAAATTGATATATATATATATATACAGATTCTAAATATGTATTTGATACTCTCGAGAACTATGACATTGATTTATGTAATCATTATGTATATACAAAAGTACTTGTAGAGAATGAATCAACAAATATAAAAATTTGAATATTCAAAGAATATATTTTTCTATTCTGGAGAAAGATTCAGCTTATCTGATCTGGTTTTCAATAATATTGGAACACAATCATTTACATTATAGAATAGTGATATTGAAATACTTCAAGACAACATATCATATACTAGTGATGACTATTAAATTAGAAATAAATTCTGAAACATTCATCCTGGTCAATATAAAAATGATTCATGTGTATATATTAAAAAAAGGATTTATGGAATTTAATACTTCTGATTTCGATACTGGTTATTTTAAAATTTTCATACCGGATCGGTGCCACAAGTTCTGGTTGCCAGGATGTAAGCTGTGTATAGATGCGGTAGTGTTGACAGCACCTTCGTACATGCTTCCACGACTTTTGTTCCTTGCTCTTAGAAGCAGCCATCTATCTGATCTGAGCACTCGTGCTGAACGGCCTCCACAAGCCCCAAGCCTAAACCATACACCCTAAACGCCCGAGAGCAGCAAGCCCACCATAACAAAACGGAGCCCAAAAGCCCTCCGCCCACCACAAAGCTTCAAGCTTTAAATGCGACGCCCTAAACTGAACCCTGAGCTATAAACGTACGCCCAAACCCGAAACCCAAAACCCTAAGCCCTGAAGCCTATGCCTGAAGTCCGAGAAAGGTCGAGAGCGCATCGCTTTCGAGGCTCGGGTCTTGTGCCCTTTAGGGTTTAGGGTTTAGGGTTTGTACCCAAAACCGTAGACCGTGGTTCCTCCAGGCCCTTGGGTTTAGGGTTTGCGTTTTTAGGGTTTAGGTTTTTTGATCCTTGGGGTGAGTACCCTTCGGCCCCATTTCGGGAGCCGACTTGCTCATTTGAGGAGTTTAAGGATTTGGGGGGAAACCCCGAACCCTTAACCCAACATCTCCTTGAGGCTGGTGCTTAGTCAGGACTTCGCGTTGCTTTCGGCTTCCGCCGCTCTGCCGGGGGTTTGAGCTAAGCCAGGGTGCCCTCGTTGGTAGTCTCGGGTAGCTTGTTCTAAGGAGTTCCCCGCCTGAAGCCATCGAAAGCACCAAGGGCTCCCCAGCAGTCCAACAACTCGAGCCCTCACGTTTTGGAGCTTGGAGGGCCCTAAAGCCCTCCGAGCTGAAACCTTAAACCCATTACACCTGACCCGACTAAACCCTAAACCTTCACCCCTTCACCCCTTCACCCCTTCAGCCCTTCAGCCCTTCACCCCTTCAGCCCTTCAGCCCTTCAGCCCTTCAGCCCTTCAGCCCTTCACCCCTTCACCCCTTCACCCCTTCAGCCCTTCACCCCTGCAGCCCTTCAGCCCTTCAGCCCTTCACCCCTTCAGCCCTTCAGCCCTTCAGCCCTTCAGCCCTTCAGCCCTTCAGCCCTTCAACCCTAAACCGTCTGGGCAGACGGCCGAAGACCTGCTGCGAAATGCTGTCGGGACCGCGGGGGGGAGGGAGGGCTCTGGGTCATGCGGGTTTCGGGCGAGGGTTTAGTGGGTTTAGGGAGTTCTGTGGGGGTGTGGGGGGTTAGGGATGTTAGGGTAGGGGTTTAGGGGTTCAGGGTATAGGGGTTCAGGATTTAGGGGTTAAGGGATTCAGGGGTTTAGGGGTTTAGGGCTTTAAAAGGGGTTTAGGGTTACAGGTTTAGGGGCTCGTTCAGGTAGTCAGACCTTTGACTTGCTCAGCGCTGTCGAGAGAGAGAGAGGGGTTTTGAGGGTTATTTTGTGCTCAGGGTTGTCAAGTTCCTAGCTCCGCGAGGATGCAGACCAGCGAGAGCAAAATCGCCGATTTGGTGCAGTCGAAGGAGGTGGGGGACCGGGAACAGAACATGAACCCTAAGCCACCTAAAACCCTAGACATTCAAAGTCCTAAATTGCCCAAGGCCCAGAAGCCTTGATGCTCTAGAAGCCTTAAGCACCCAGGCGTGGAAGTTGAAACTTCAAAGCCCCGAAAGGCCTTGAACCGCGTTTAGGGTTCAGGGTTTCACCCGAACGAACCCTAAATCCTAAACCCTCAAACCCTAAACCCTAAGCTTATCGGGGAATAGAACCCTTCCCAAAGGGGAGCCGTAAAGCAGGCTGCCTTCGAAATCCCAGCCAGCGCCAGCAGCCAAGAGGGCTTCATCTCACAGAGCAATTTTGCTTGGGCCGGAAGGTACGGGTAGGGGGGGGGGGGGGGATTGTACTAGCAGCCCGTAAATAATGGGATAACAATAGGGGGGGGGGGGTACGATAATCCCTGTTAAGGGCTCCTAGAAAAAGGGCGAACATCCCAAAAGGGTAGACATGGCAAGACTCCGCCTGCTACCGTGCCGTGCGCAACCCCAGGCTCGCGCTTAAGGGGAGCCGAATCTGGGGTTTCATGCTTGCCTTTTTTTGGGGGTTTATGAAAATACGGGACCACTAGTATATAGACCCCCAATAGTAGGGTTCCCTCTAATAAGGACCCCAATAAGGTATTCCTTATTTCGGAAACCCTTATTTTCCATACATATCCCCAAGTCCGCAAGACACTGTGCACCCTAGAGGCCCTTGACCAGAACCCGAGCCCCTGAACCCCTGACCGCCCCTTGACGAACCCCCCCTGAACCCCTGAAACCCTAAACCCTAAACCCTAAACCCTAAACCCTAAACCCTAAACCCTAAACCCTAAACCCTAAACCCTAAACCCTAAACCCTAAACCCTAAACCCCCTAAACCTGGAATTCTTAACCCGGAACCCCAACGACGGATTTCCACATGATCCAATCCCTGAAGCAAATAACCTTGCACAGTGAAACACGAGGCTCGGCCTTGAAGCCTCCAGCCCTGAAGCCTCAACCTTTTTCTTACATGCGTAGGGACGTTTCGGGTTTATGAAGCCCTAAACCCTAAGCCCTAAGCCCTAAGCCCTAAACCCTAAACCCTAAGCCCTAAACCCTAAACCCTAAACCCTAAACCCTAAACCATGGTGGGCAAGGTCTTAGTCTCCTTCCGCAGCATCCCCGCGGCAGCGAAGAGCCTGGCCGACGACTGGGCCGGGCTGCTGAACGTCTGGGGGGGGGTTCAGAGGGTTTAGGGTTTAGGATTTAGGGTTTAGGATTTAGGGTTTAGGGTTTAGGGCTCAGGGTTCAGGTTTAGGGTTCAAGGGGTTTAGGGTTTAGGGTTTAGGGTTCAGGGCTTTGGGGGGCGACCTGCTGTCAGCACGTGACGCGCTTCTTGAGGCAATCGGGGCTGCTCCGGGTAAAGCTCAGGATTGAGGATTTTTTTGAGGGTCTTGGGGCATACCACGAACACTCGGACGGCTGAACCTCTCTCTTGTGGTTGCTAAGTGCAACCTCTGTCAACACGGGAAACGCCAATGCCCCCTGAAGCGCTTCGTCTCGGCTCCGGGCAGAACTCCTCGGACTGTCCCTGAGGCCCAAACGCAGCCTAAAGCCAGGAGACTGATAAGACCAGACCTGGGGAACAGGATAGCCAAACCTCAAGAAGACGCCCTGAATCATCTGAATCTGAGGACACCAGATCCCCCAATCCCTTCAAAGCCATCTCGGAAGGTCACCTGGAGTACGAAGCGCCGCCTGAGGCGGAGTTCCTTTGTGAAGGTGGGTCCCCCCTCACAGCCCTGGGCCATAAACCCCAAAAACTCCAGGGACCATTCCAGCTCCAAGCTACGTCCAGAAAGGTTTTTTTTTCATGGCTAGGGTGTGGACGTTTCGTTTGGGGTTCTTTGAGTATGACTGACTCTGGCCGCTCCATGCCTCTGTCCTAACTGCAGCCAAGAAAACTGCTCCCCGCACGCACGCACACGCACGCACGCACGCGCGCACGCACGCGCATGCGCATGGGCACGCACGCACACGCAGTGTGCGTGCGCACACGCACGTGCACGCGCCAGCCCATGGTGTGCACGCGCACGCACGCGCAAGCACGCGCATGCGCATGCGCACGCACTCACTCGCACGCACGGACGCACGCACGCAAGCACGCCCGCACGCCCGCACGCACGCCCACCCGCCCGCACGCCCACGCAAGCCCACACGCACGCCCACACGCACGCCCACACGCACACGCACGCCCACACGCACACGCACGCCCACACGCACACTCACGCGCACACGCACGCGCACATGCACGCGCACGGGCACGCGCACGCGCACGCGCACACGTCCACGCACACCCACCCGCACTTGCACGTGTGCACGCACATTAGTAGACAGGCTTTTTTCACCCCACGACGGTGTAATTACTATGTTGCCGTTTCTCTCTCACTCTCTGTATCTCTCTCTCGCTGTCCCTCCCTTCCTACTTACCTACCTATCCTACCTCCTTGCCTCTCTCTGAATCACAAATATCGCAAGTTATGTGGGAGATGCAGGTTCCAGAATACCGCCTTGAAAACCGGGGCCCCCTGCGGCTGGCAATCTTCACTCGAAGCAGGCTTCTGTGCCCAAGACAATTTAAATTTTCCCTCCGCTTCAGCCCCGAAAACTCGCATGGCTGCTGGTGGACCGACTGGACTTGATGTGTGGATTGTGTTTTGTTTCGAGCATTGCTTGAAGCCGGAACACCGAGGTGTACGAAAAGGGTTAGAGCATCTTGCGGCTACGTTGGGCTGCAAGTTTGTTTGCCACAAGAAATCGATGGGCTTTTTCAGTTGGCTGGAAGGCAGGGAAGGTACCAAACTCATCATCGCAGACTGGCGAGAGGCGAAACCCATCACTGAAGGGCTCAGCAAGCGTGGGCACAAGGGCGATGCCCGCATGTGCGTGGTCGCACGGTCGGATAGGACATTTCACCGTGCATCCTATTTCGTGGACAGCATGGGCCAGGGTGCCGAGATCGTGGTGGCGCCGGACTTCTCGCTTGAGAGCATGGAGGAGTTCATACGTACCTACATGACCTACATGCAGACTGCGCGCGAGACACTTCATGCACCGCCATGCACGGAGATCGAACCGATGCCGTTGCCTGTGCAGCCCAAGGCCGTTGAAGCGCTTTGCGGGATGTCCCTGCCCAGTCTCCTCCAGGCTGTCCAGGACCCCAAGGTAGCAGCCGCACTGGAGCAGCTCATTCTGCAAACCATGTCGTCGCAAGTCTACGAGGATTGAGTGAAAAGTGGCATGAATCCGCGATTATATTGGGCGCAATGGCCGCCACAGTCTCACAACGCCCCTAATTTCTCGACTGACTCGTGCTGTCCAAACCGGACCGCAAGCACCTGTCGCGTGGGACTTGGACACGACCTGTCCGCCGGAAGTCTCACTACGAAGGACCTTCTATGACTCTATGAGCCAAAAAGTCCGAGCTCAACCCTAAAGCCCTCCGAGCTCCAAAGCCCAAATCCTCAACCCTTAAGGCCCTCAACCCTTCCCTTAGCCCTTCAAGGCACCTCAGACGCCGCTGCAACCTTGAAGGGCTTGAAAACCCCAAAACATCCTCAAGCCCTAAACCCTAGACCCTAAGCCCTAAGCCCTAAACCCAAAACCCTAAACCCCAAACCCTAAACCCTAAACCCGAAACCCGAAACCCTAAACCCTAAACCCTAAACCCTAAACCCTAAACCCTAAACCCTAAACCCTAAACCCTAAAACCCAAACCCGGGTCCCCACCCCTCTGACCTTGTTGGGTAGACCATACCTCTGAGGAGGCGAGCCTTGAACCCTCAAACTACTCAAACGACTTGAAGTTCAACTTCCAGCAAGAAAGCACGGAGATATGCGACGAAAAAGGCCATTCGGGTTGGCATACACCCGGTGCAATCCGTAAGCTGCTGAAGCTTGCCTTCAGAAACTTGGATGCGGTTGCCCCCAGCATAAAACTGGAACTGGAAGCTTGACTTGCGGAAAAGTTGCTGCTCAGTACAGTTCTGAACCTCTGAAGATGTCCAACATGTATCCCCAGCATCCAATGTCTGTTTCGGATGCGATTCGGATGACTTTCGATCAGGAAGGCCCTTCGGTCGCGTCACCTAAACCATCTTCCCAAGCCTCCCAGTGTCCCCCAGTAGCCCAAAGTCTCCGTGATTCCTTTTGGCAGGCAGATGTTCCAAGCATCCCACGTGTCCATCCCAACGACGTCCCTTTGGTCCTTTGCCCTGCGTCCCCTTGGTGGCTGGCTCCGGTGGTGGCTTGCTGCGAGTTGTGACTGGGCGGCCTTGGGGTGTTGGCATGTCTGCATTCTACTGCGTTTACCTGCCGAACGCACCCGAAAGCCCGAAAGCCCGAAAGCCCAGAAGCCCGAAAGCCCAAAAGCCCGAAACCCGTAATCCCTTGAACCCCAACCCCCCAAACCCCTAAACCCCTGAACCCCGGAACCCCTAAATTCTGAACCCCAAAACCCCTCAACCCCTCAACCCCTAAACCCCTAAACCCCAAACCCCAAACCCTAAACCCTAAACCCTAAACGCTAAACCCGCCACGGAGCACACCCAGACAGTTGGCAGGTGACGGGCCGTGGGGGTGCCCAGTGCCTTCGCCGTTGGGGCTCCGGGGCTTGGCGGTTAGGGCTTTAGGCTTTTGGGGGTGTAAGGGGTAGGGTTCAGGGTTTGGGGTTTGGGGTTTGGGTAGGGTGTCGGGGTTTCGGGGTTTAGGGTGTTGACAGATGCAGCGCAGAAGCCGGACCCCCCTAATTCCCCGACGCAGTGCTGCTCTTGGTGGCATATTGGGGGGCGAAGTCGGTTTCGTTTCCGGAGCCCAAGCTTCGAAGCCCTAGACCCACGAAGGCTTCAATCCCTGAAGCCCTAAACCCTAAAGCCTAAACCCTAAAGCCAGTGAACCCGAAACCCTGAACCCTAAGCCCCATGCTCCCTAAGCACTGCTTTTCCAAGGCCTGGAAACGCACCTTCACCCGTACTACCTCAGCCGCCTGGGAGGGGAGCCCAGTTTACATGATCCGTGTTGTCGGGGCTCCTGTTTAGAAACTTACACGAAGTTGCTGTATTGTCAGGATTGTGGGATATTGTGGGGTTCCCTGAATAAGGTTTACCCGAATCTAGGAAACCCCCCCATATGTACGACGTCTTTGTCAGTCAATGCAACCGTACCCGGCCTCTTTGGCTGCGGTGGTGTTCACAGCTGGCAGTCATAGAAGAAGGTTGAGTTGTGGCATATTTTGACGAGCGACCGTTTTTGTTGATGGGTTGGTCAACAGGAAGATGTGTCGTGATCAGCTTTAGCAGGGTGAGGTGTCAGACGCTTGCCCAGGGATGCAGGCAGTGTTTGGGTGCCCAGGGACGTACGCAGACCCTCGCACCCTGAACCTTGCACCGAAGCCAGGATCTTTGTGAGGCTGTTGGTGATTCTGGTTGCTGACTTGTACCACATCTCCCCAGCACCTGGGGATTCGTGGGTTTGGGGGACTTCGGAAAAGTATTGTGCAAAGCGGGAACCATCCCTCAACCCCTCAACCCTCAACCCGAAACCCCAAGACGGACTGCTGCCAACACCTCAAAGTCCTCTCCGGCCAGAAGCTTCCGATTCCCTCAAGTGCCGATGACCACCAGTAGATCACCCCCCCAAAGCCCTAGGCCACAAACCCTAAAACCAAAATGTCCATATGAGTATTTTGTACCATCCTGCTCAAGGCTAACATGGTACCCCCCTCAGGCCGAACCCTAGCAGCCCGAAAGCCCGCAAGCCCGAAACCGCTACACTAAGCCCTAGAGCCCAAACCCTAAACCGCCCTATCATCCCCAAACCCCAGACCCCAAACTCGAAACCCCAAACCCCAAACCCGAAACCCCAGACCCTAAACCCCAAACCCCGAACCCTAGACCCTAAACCGCCCTATCATCCCCAAACCCCAAACCCCAAACCCGAAACCCCAAACCCCAAACCCGAAACCCCAGACCCTAAACCCCAAACCCCGAACCCTAGACCCCCAAAACCCTAAACCCCAAACCCCAAGCCCCGAGGGTTTAGGGTTTAGGGTTATCGCAGGCCTCGGCCTGCGCGGGGCGGCGGGACTCCTCCTGCACCGCCGGGCACACCCAGGTCTTAGGACACTGAAGGAGGACGGTTTAGGGTTTAGGGTTTAGGGTTTAGGGTTTAGGATTTACGGTTTAGGATTTGGGGATCTTGGGTGGAGGGGGTTGGGGTTTAGGTCTTTGGGGTTTAGGGTTTAGGGTTTGGGGTTTGGGGTTTAGGGTTGGGGTTTGCTGTGATATGGCGCAGCAGAAGCTGCTTGGGATGCAGACAGGAAAGCTTGAGCAGCCATGGCCCGATTGTGGAGGGCCGTCTAGGCAAAACCTGGTCTTACAAGAATCCTAAAGGCCCGG